CTGGTCTTTGGCACAGAGGAGTAATGGATAGTGGCTCGGATTGAGGAATTGGAGAGCCAAGTTTGAATTCCAGAAGAATCCATTACATTCACTTACATGCTAATACCCTTGGGAAAAGTATGAATCCTCTTCTTTTCCCCCCAGCTATGGGTAAATAGCAGGACAGACTGGATTCTATAGCCTTGGATGGCAACTGGTCTACTGCAGAAAGAAATGGCAACCTACTGTGGGTAAAAATCTGCTTCATCAGTCATGTATTGAAAGATACATGATCTCCTAAGTGTGTATCATGCATGGCACATATAACTGAAGTCCTCAGCAATGTTTATTGTTTTAAAAAGCAATGATAAGAATTGTAAAGCCTAAACATATTGAAAGTGAGTAGAAGTCATATATATTTTTTTCGTCCCCCATTACTGCCATCATGTTTACTAATTTACTGCGTAGTACCTACGCAGGCGTAATAAAAAAATTGACCTATTTACTTCTTTTACTACAGACTTTGCTTGCAGAAAATCACTACGCAATACCGTAAAGAAATGTAATTTTTTTTTTTTTTTTTGCTATTCAAAACGGAAAAAAGGTTCTGTTGTGTTTATTTAATTTGTTTTTGTTATAAATAAAACTACACTTACCAAAAAAAAAATTAATAAACTAAACATGATGGCAGTAATGGGGGACGAATGACCAACAAGAAGTTCGATGTTTTCTTGTCGATAAATCCAAAACGGTAAGGTTTCTTCATAATTTAATTTGTTAATTCGAGTTCAGCATGTACTTTTGCATGGAATTATGACGATTTTGGAAAAATTTTAAGGAATATTAGCGCTCGGCAAACAAAACCAAAATTTACCAAAAAAAAAAATGGCGTTTATGGGGGGTAAAAAACGTTCTTTTTTTTTGACGCTCTGTTTTTTTTTTTTTTTTTTTTTGTGGGCACAAAGTTCTATGGAGCATCTGTAATCATATTCGAAATTTGATAAAATAGCTATCGAGTCAAGATTTTTAAAAAAGTCTCAGAGAAACACCAAACAAAAGTACATAAAACGGTAGGCCGCAGGGGAAAATGACAAATTAGAAAATTGCAGTAGTAAGGTAAGGACAATTTCTAATAAATCGCTGTTGGTTTGCCGTTTTTACGGTTTATGTAATTAAATTAAAAAAACAAAAGGTAGCGTCAATTTGTCACCTGAAAACATAAAAATAAGTGACTTATTTTTACTTTAACAGGTCGTAGTCAGTCAACTCAAAAATACTAGCTCGTCCACACAAAAATCTAAGCAAATCCTATTCCCCAACCAAAGGGATAAGCAAAGCGGCCAGAGATCAAAAATCTCACCGACAACTGAAACTACACGACAGTTTAACAAAGTCAATACACCTCTTAAACTTCCTTTTCTTAAACTGTCTGTACTGTTATTTACTAAAAAAAAAAAAATGAACTTACTCTACACTACACTACAGTCTCTACACGAACATTTTTATAAGACTGTTTAAAAAATTCACGCATATTCAATTGTTGTACCTCCACAGAAAACGTGAAGGTATTAAAATTTTTTCTTGAAGATTTTTTAGTTTTAATTTCAAGCTAATAATAAATTTAATTTCCAAAGCAAAATACTTGTTTGTTGTTTGTAATTTAGAAGCATAAAATAAATTTTAAAATTGGATGTCTAGTGAAAAATATTTTGAAACTTAGCCAAAAAATGTTCTAAAAATACTAATAGTCTCTTGAGTTGAGATTAAAAAAAGTAAGTAAATATGTATGCATCTAAAAAATAAAATATAAAGAAATTATGTATCTATTTCTAGTCGACTAAAAAACTTAGATTTATCTGCCACATACGACCGTGGCGTAAACTATCAATGAGAATTGAACTCATAAGCAACGTATCAACAACCAACTTGCATAATTAATATTTAACATTTTTGTCAGCCAACGTATTTTATTCACTTGCATCGTAATGTAAATAGTTTTATAGCTCGATAAAAAATAACAATCCAAAGCGGATTGCAGACGATACAGGAATTTTTTATGAAGCAAACTTGTAAAAGACTTAAACCACGCGCCATACCGTATCCATGGCGACATAGTAAAGCGTCCATCTGTCGCGCAAAGCAACAAACTCATTGATTCGTTTATCTACTCAGCCACAAACATGGCAAGTCTGAGCCTGTGTAAGTTTAACAAATAATGTTCACTGGTCATATCAACATTTATCGGTTGCTAAAAAATATAATTGCCAATAGAAATCGTTTATCGAACGTCAATTATTGGAATATGTGAATTGTTAAAAAGAAGGAAAACAAATAAAAAATAAGATTGAACAAGAGTTGTAGTTTAAGTTTAAACAACCAATGAAAATCGCTGTTACATTTTCAATGTCGTCTGATATTTGGTTGCTTTCTTGTCATTGCTTTTTCTTTTACTTGTCTGCTTTTTTTTCTGTTGATCTTAGCCTTTCACTCATTAATATCATCATAAAGTGTCAAAAACTCATTTATTCTGTTTCTTGTTCCCTAACTGTCGTGTGTCACTGCAACCAAGTCTTCTTCTTTCTTCTTAGTTCTTCATTTATTCAGAGGTAAGTGAAAAAGTTAAAAAAAAAGTTTAAAACAAATAATCACAAGTGTCAAAAACTAAAAATTTCTTTTAATTAATTTTTCTTTTGCTAAAAATGGTTAATTTTTCAAGTAAAATTTATATTTAAAAAATTTTCTTCAAAAATTGTGGAAGGAAGCTTTGCAAAACAATGTTAATTTTTTATAAGTTTAAATATCATTTTTAAATTATTTTTTGTTAAAATGAATGAATGATAAAGTTTAATGTTAGAAAAAAAAAAATTAATTTTGAAAAATAATACTAATAATTTTTTTTTTACTTAGCATATTGAAGTCACAACTATGATATTAAGTGGAAAAAATTTTTAAATATTTTTTCAACCAAATTATTTTTAAAAATTTACATTAAATTTTCATTGCAAAATTATGAGAAAAATATTTTTTTTTTAATTGCAGGATTAAAATTAAAAAAAATATAACTTTATGAAATACAATGAAACTTCAAAATGTTTACAAAACTGCAAGCCTTTTAAGATGTGTGTAAACTTAGTCTTAAGTTAAACAATTATAAACAAAGTTTGCAAGTCTGGACCCATTCTTTGAAAAGAATTCTCACCTAGTTACATTCTTGACAGTAAGTAAACTACATGCAGACAGTAAAAATATTTTCTGGAGAAGGAAAAAAATACTATATAGACTTTACATTTTCAGAAAAATATATTCTTTATGTAAGTCATTTTCAGAAACAATCATGCACAAAAAAAAAAAGTTTTTTTTTTAAAATTTTATTTTCAACTTTATTAATCAAATAAAAAAGAATGAAATTAATTTTACTTTAAAAATTTGTGAATAAAAATTAATGTTTAAAATATTTATTTATAATTTCTATAAAAGGAATTGTTGAATTATGTTTCAAATTATTTTTTACTTTTGCATGTTTTTATAGCTTATTCTTGGGATTGAAATATGAAATTAATTTAAAAATAAAAGAATTAACAATTTATATAGATAATTAGTTGTTTTAATTTCTTTTCATTCTTATAATTGTATCTAATTATATACAGTTAAAAAATGAAAAAGAAATTATTAAATGTAAAATGTGTACACTGTCAGAAATTTTGCCCCCCTTCAGAATACATATTTAAACCTAAATATTATTATGTATTATAAATAATTTGCTAAGGCAGTTTTGAGTTTTAAATTATATATATATATATTTACAAAATCTTTATATAAGACTTTGTTACTACTACTTTCTACCCACCAAAATAAAATATGCAAAAAAATAAAATAAAGGTTTTTATTAAGATTTAGACACTATGTAAAATTCCTATACTTTTTTGATGATTGTTTTGTTTTCTATAAATGTGAGTAATTTATGAATTATAACAAGAGCTTTAAAAATGTAATTCAGTATTTATTTAGAGATAACAAAAATATTGATAAGTGTTCAGTTTCCTGCAGATTTTTTTTTCTGTGTATTTATTTCTTTTTTTTTTTTCTTTTTTTGAAAACAATATTGAATAACCATTTTTAAAATATTGAATAGATTTATATAGTATTATGTAATAGTATGTAATAAAAATATTCAATGAACATTAATTTAGGGTCAGCAAACTTAGGATGAAATAGAATTTGTTTTAGTTTTACTAATTTTACTAATTTATTAAAATATGAAAACTCAATTTTTTTTTTTTTTAAGAATTCAAAGTGGATTAATAAGCACATAATGATTAGATGAATTTTGATCTGAGATTTTTATTGTATAATGTTTCAAAAAAGTTTATATTTTGCACAGCAAATACTTATTTCAACACAATCTGCTTCTTTGTTAATTCACCCACGAAATTAAGTGCATTGACAAGGAATGAGATTGTTGGAAAATAAATACTTTCTTATCATTAAGCTACTCCCTTATTTATTTTTATAAACTGAAGGACTTAGAAATTAAGTTTGATTTCTGTAAACTGTTCTGTTTCTATGATTCATACATTATTTTTTTCTATAAATTTTTTGGGGTTTTAAAATTTTATTCCAACAAGAGAAATTGCCTGAAAGTGTTTGCTGTTTTCCATTTCAAAAAACATTCTGTAAGAAAATGATAGTTTACCAGAAGTTTATGATTATCTCAAACAATTATTTATTATATATCTGTAATTATGGAGATGTGAGGCCATTTAACTGTATTTTGTAGCAGATCCAGTTCAAATTTCAACCAAGGCTGTGTTCACTTAACATGAATGTCCTTGGGAAAGGTGTGAATTTTTGCTCTATCACAATGCCAGGATCAAAAATTGTTTTGTCACTGGCATGCTCTAACCATTGACAGAGGAGATAGCGGGGAAGTGAGCAAATCACTTTCCCATAACTACCTAATGACAGGTAGTAAGTAATAACTGTAAAATGTTTTCGTACCCATTGTAACTTAGCCACATCTTGTTGAAACACCAGATCCCATACAATTATCAAAGTTAAGCAATGCTGATCCTGGTCAGTATCTGAATGGGTGACCACTTGGAAATACCAGGTGCTGTAAACTTGCATGTGCAGGTGGTGTAATGAATAATGGCTTGGAATTGTTAATCAGAGAGCCAAGTTCTAATTCTTGTTGGGTTCATTATATTCACGTATGTGCAAATACCCTTGGAAAAGGTGTGAATCCACCTCTTTCCTCCCACCAGTTATGAGTTAATTAGTAAGAATTGTATCACTAAAACTATTATCTCCCCCATCCCCACAAAATAACCTGCAAAGAGTTAAGCTGTAAAAAATGAATCAATGTACTCATTGACAATCTTGTAAAACTCCAGTCATACTGGTGTATATATATATATATATATATATATATTATATTATATTTTGTGCTGATAGGAATATATACTTGAACAACACAGTGGATAAAATAAGTAAAGGTTTATTGTAAAAACTAGTACAATAAGAATAAAGGTAAGTTATGCACAAGGTCATTGCAAGTCAATCGAATAGTGAGTGCTACTATTGGAAGGTCAGTAGTTCTCGCGTAAGTCTGAGTTACACTCAACAGAACCCAGCTAGAATATTTAGCTACCCCCCCCCCACGAGGGCTGCATGTGGCACAAGGCCGGTTTAACGTGGGTTCTCCGAGCCCGTAGGCTCAGCCCAAATTATTCCCTTTCTAACCCATATCAAAGGGTTCAGGAGCAGTCTACCTCCCCGAATGAGACTCTGCCCTTCGGCAGAGCCTCGTCCGGGTTCCTCTCCGCCCAAAGGCAGAGAGTTAGACTGTCTAGCTGGAACAGGTCGCATCTAGCCTCTGTAGTCCATTGACTCACAGATACTTATAGGCAGTTACTACCTAGAGTGTAGTCCCTCATAGGGGTGACAGGTTATTCCATTACATCAATATATATATATATGTAATTCCAGTCTTACTGGTGTGTATATATACATATATAATTACAAATATCACCTGATAAAATCTGATATTTGTATTATGAAATTTTATGCAAATGAAGCATTATATCTGCATTATACAGTTTAGTTTTGAACAAGGATGAATGGGAGGGATTGTTAAATGAGGGTGACATCATATTGTACCAGTCTTCCAAGAAGAAATTCTCTGCATATTTTGAAAATCGGCATTCAAAATACTAGCTTTTTATATCAGCTTAAATAATGACTAGTAGCCATGAAGTAAGTCTGATCATGTATAATATATATCTAAAATGAATCAGATGATATTGTAGCTCAAAATATTACTTCATATCTATGCCAATGTGTTCATCTCTCTATATATATATATATATATATATATATATATATGAAAATTCTCAGAATATATAGGAAGAAAAGACAAATTGAATAAAATAGACAATCAGAAAACAGTACTTAGCCCATTCCAATGCGTTTTGTCATCCAACTTTATCAAGGCAAGTGATAAACAAAACCAAAATATTGTACTTGAAAATCAAATATTTTTAAAAGGTGTTCCTGTGAAAGTGTCCTTTTTGGATATTAGTAACTTTTCCTTTCTTTCTTTTTACTAAGTGTTCTTGTTTTCCATGTCAACAATGTGTGAAAGTTCACAAAATAATGTGTGTGTATGTAGTTGTATGAGAGGGTGCTGAAAAGTTCTCAGACTCAATTTTGGAAAGGGCTTCTTGGTCAGGTTGAGAAATTTCCAGTGCCTTTTGTAATATAGTAATTTGCTCTATGATCATAACACATATCTTCTTAAATTTCATGCTTGAATAATGAGTTAAAAGATGAATCATATGGAATATTTATATTATGTACTTTTATGAAGTGTGAACTTGACCCAATGCTTAACAGCAAAGGAAAATGAAATCTTGAACTGTGTTTAAATTTCACTTGAGCTAGCTTATGTTCATTTATCACTGTAACATTAGGAAAGACACGAGTCCACCTATTTCTGTCAGTTAAGTAAGGGATACTCATATTATGTAACCCAATAGAACTTATTATACTTGGAGAGGTGATGGGCACCACCAAGTAACCCACTTTTTCCCAGGAAATGCCATGAAGGCACAGTATGTTATCCTAATGACCTACTATGATCATGGGATAATAATTTAATTTTTTTTATATTCCTATGATAACTTATATAAGACAGTGCTGAAAAGATTTCAGCCTGACCAAAAAATTATTTTTTAAAATATTTTGATATTTCATCAAACTTTATGAAGTGGGTCAAGTTGGTAACTTTTCAGCATTCACTTGTGCATATAAAAATAATACCAATTAGATAATCAGTTATATCTTTAATGTATGAGGACATCCTTAAAAGTATATTTGTATAAAATCCAAGTTATTTGTTACCATAATCAGCTGAAAGATTCTTTTTGAAGCAAATTCCACTCAGTTCAACAGGTAATGTATCAGCAACCATTGTGTAAGCACTTAATTGTGCATCCAAAATTTCAGCTGGTCAAAAGAATAAAAAAATAGAAAAAAACAATTACAATGATTTAATGCCAAGCAGATGTTTCTATGATTATAAATTAAGCTATGTAAAAATCAGTGACCTTAACATCAGTTATTATTTATGATAGACTTAATCTATATTATTAGCTTATTGAATAAGTAATGTTTACCTTTTAATATCTAATACTTATGTAATATATATATATATATATATAACAACCTTGGTTCACATGACTATTTGCAGCTCTGTAATAGTGTCTTAAATAAGAGTAAGTTTTCTATCCCTCTTCTCTTCACTCAATTTGAGGTGTTAACATCTGCTGATAAAGCAGAATGTTTTGCTTGTAAATTCTCTTTAAATTCTAATCTCGACTCATCTGGTGTATCTTTGCCTGACTTTACTCTTAGAACTGAGTCTCTCTTTTGAGTGATATGCATGGTTTCTGATATCATTTCTTAATTAAATCCTCACAATGCATGTGGCCACAATCACTTAGAATCAAAACAACCTATTGTAAATAATGCTACAATTATTTTAAGGTGCGCAGAGATGTTAAAGCCAGCCTTAAGTTGAAAAAAAGAACAGTAAAAAAAAAAAAAAAAACACACATTACCAGAATGCCAAAAACATGTTTTTAAAAAAGGTGCTTAATATTATTGGATATGTGTTTTTGCTCAACAGCACTGGGTTTACAAGACTTCCAAGCAAGAACAATATAATTCCCAAAGCAGTGCAATGATGACACACAGAACAGTGCTCAATGCATAATGGCAGAGACTGAATATTATTTTCAATATGGTATTGTCACAATAGTTGGCTGTGACTAAAGTTTCATATATGTTTATCACATAATCATCCAGCAGCTGGTAATGGCTTCTAGTGTGTGTCATGGGCATTTATTCCCCTTTGATTAAGCCAAAATGTTATACCATGGGTGGTTTGGCATAGACACACAGTGCATAAACTTTGGTCAGTGGTCATAATCACCTAGGGAGAATAGAAAAAGATGGTGTAGCCATTATTTCAAGGTTTAGAAATGTTAAGGCTGTAAGGGATGATAAAAGAAAAAAAAATACACAAAATGATAACACCAAAAATATTTCTTTCAAAAAAGTTTTCAATTTTACAAATTCTATGTCTTTGGAGCAATTATGTAAAATGCTACCTGATTATACATATATATATATATATAGATTGTGAGAGACACAGACTGAGTGTGGACATAGGAATCAACATTGCATGTTCACATTGACTGTATATGCTAACACTCCATCTTCAATACTGAGCACTCCTTCCCCATAATTATAGCAAATTTTAAATAAATATATCTATAAATATATATAAATAAATTCCTAGCTCCTCCTTTTGCACAATGTTAGGGAAATCTAAGAACTGTCTTTAAGGCTCTTTATGGATTCTATGGTAATGATGCATTTGGTACAAATAAATGTCAGGAATAATTTGCAAAATGTTAAAAAGATTTTGAGCTTAAATCCAAAGAACTCTCAGGGAAAACCCAAAACTTGAAAAATGCTGACTTGGAGAAACCTTTAAAGGAAGATGCAACATAAACAATAGGTGAATTTGCAGAAAAAAATAGAGGTGAATCACTCAACTGTAGTACATTGTTGGTTCCAAACCTTTTGAAAAATTCTAAAGCTAAGAAAATGGGTTCCACATGATCATTAGTCATCATTTAAAGATATGCATTTTTTTTTCTTGCTTGACACAGAAAATCATTTTTGCACAAATTACAAAAGACCCAAATGGTAATCTTGACTAGATTCAGGACTGTCTTCAACATTTCAGTTGCATATTTAACTATGGGGCAATAACATTCTTACATTCAAAAGGAATTTTTTATTTCTGCTGGAATATAAGCAGACGGTTACTGTGCAACTCTATAGGTTTGTTTGAATGATACACTGAAGTAAAAATGTATTGTATAAAGAAAAGAAGTAGGCTTGTGATTTTGTTGCAAGTTAAGGATATCAAGAATTCAAAATAGAAATCATACTTTGATGATGGCCTATACCATTAACCTGAGAAGGGACAAAAGGTCATAGAAAACCAAGGGAAGTACTTTGATGAGTGAATAATGATTCTATAAATTCATTTGAATAAAAAATTTTGTTAAAAAATATTGAAAACTCTTACAACATCCTAATATAAAGTAAACACTGCCATCAAGAACATTATTTACTTTCTTTATAGGTATCTATGCACATACACATTTTGAGAAGCACTCTTCATTAATATATGCAATGTTTCTGTCTATTAAGGACCCCATGATGATGATATTTTACATTCTTTATGGTAATGTTAAGCAGCTAATTAAGATTAAATTTGGCATTTGAAAATGATAAATCAAGTCAAGAATATCAAAAGTCAATTAAGGCACTTTATATATAACGTCATTTAACATAAAAATCCTTTAAAATGTACTATGAATAAATAGGTACATTACTAACTGAAAGAATATTTATTTTACACAAGAGATTTATTTATTTATTTTTGCATAACACCTTTCTTGTCAATGAACTGAATTCACTAGTGAATGACTTGCATATTTTAAAAATTCAGCTGATACATTCTTAAAGGATTCTTTTTTT